ATAAATATTTTTGTTGCTTTAAATTTTCACGATCTGAGGGCATGAAGATGAGATTTTGCAAAATGCACTGTGACTCCTTAGAACACCAGGGAAAGTCACCGTGACTATCTAGGAACCAAGTGAGAGTCACTGTGACTGTCTAGGAACTGAGTGAGAGTCACCGTGACTATCTAGGAACCAAGTAAGAGTCACTGTGACTATCCATGAACCAAGTGAGAGTCACTGTGACTATCTAGGAATCAAGTGAGAGTCACTGTGACTATCCATGAACCAAGTGAGAGTCACTGTGACTATCTAGACACCAAGTGAGAGTCACCGTGACTATCTAGGAACAAAGTGAGAGTCACTGTGACTATCTAGGAACCAAGTGAGAGTCACTGTGACTATCCATGAACCAAGGGCGAGTCACTGTGACTATCTATGAACCAAGGGAGAGTCACTGTGACTATCTATGAACCAAGGGAGAGTCACTGTGACTATCTATGAACCAAGGGAGAGTCACTGTGACTATCTATGAACCAAAGGAGAGTCACTGTGACTATCTATGAACCAAGGGAGAGTCACTGTGACTATCTATGAACCAAGGGAGAGTCACTGTGACTATCTATGAACTAGGGAGAGTCACTGTGACTATCTATGAACTAGGGAGAGTCACTGTGACTATCTATGAACCAAGGGAGAGTCACTGTGACTATCCATGAACCAAGGGAGAGTCACTGTGACTATCCATGAACCAAAGGAGAGTCACTGTGACTATCTATGAACCAAGGGAGAGTCACTGTGACTATCTATGAACCAAGGGAGAGTCACTGTGACTATCTATGAACCAAGGGAGAGTCACTGTGACTATCCATGAACCAAGGGAGAGTCACTGTGACTATCCATGAACCAAGGGAGAGTCACTGTGACTATCTATGAACCAAGGGAGAGTCACTGTGACTATCTATGAACCAAGTGAGAGTCACTGTGACTATCTAGGAACAAAGTTAGAGTAACTGTGACTATCTATGAACCAAGTGAGAGTCACTGTGACTATCTAAGAACCAAGTGAGAGTCACTGTGACTATCTAGGAACCAAGTGAGAGTCGCGGTGACTGTCTAGGAACCAAGTGAGAGTCACCGTGACTATCCATGAACCAAGTGAAAGTCACTGTGACTATCTAAGAACCAAGTGAGAGTCACTGTGACTATCTAGGAACCAATTGAGAGTCACTGTGACTATCTAAGAACCAAGTGAGAGTCATCGTGACTATCTAGACACCAAGTGAGAGTCACTGTGACTATCTAGACACCAAGTGAGAGTCACTGTGACTATCTATGAACCAAGGGAGAGTCACTGTGACTATCCATGAACCAAGGGAGAGTCACTGTGACTATCCATGAACCAAGGGAGAGTCACTGTGACTATCCATGAACCAAGTGAGAGTCACTGTGACTATCCATGAACCAAGTGAGAGTCACTGTGACTATCTAGACACCAAGTGAGAGTCACTGTGACTATCTATGAACCAAGTGAGTGTCACAGTGATTATCCATGAACCAAGTGAGAGTCACTGTGACTATCTAGACACCAAGTGAGAGTCACTGTGACTATCTATGAACCAAGGGAGAGTCACTGTGACTATCTATGAACCAAGTGAGTGTCACAGTGACTATCTATGAACCAAGGGAGAGTCATGGTGACTATCTATGAACCAAGTGAGAGTCACTGTGACTATCTATGAACCGAGTGAGAGTCACCGTGACTATCTATGAACCAAGGGAGAGTCATGATGACTATCTAAGAACCAAGTGAGAGTCACCGTGATTATCCATGAACCAAGTGAGAGTCACTGTGACTATCTAGACACCAAGTGAGAGTCACTGTGACTAT